AATAATTATATATTAAAAATTTATGATATTTTAAAAAATTAAATTTTATAAATTATAATATATAATAAATAATAATAATAATATATTAATATACTATATTAATAATATACTAATATAGATATTATATATTTATATAATATAAGTTTTATAACTAATATAACATATTATTTATATATATTAATATTAGGGATGTTAAACTGGTTCTTTGTTCGAGAACAGCTCGTGTACGACTTATTCGTTAAGAAACAAATACGAACAAAAACTTCACGAATAATTTATAACACTTAACTTATTTTAAAGAAACTAAATTTAAAATGAACAATTTCTAAGACGAACTTAAACTAACCAAACGAGAACAGAACCTGTGTCGTTCGGTTAGTTTACACCCCTCTCACGCCTCGCCTCTGGCTCTCCCATTCGCTCACGCCTCTCGCCCCCTCTCCTTCCCGTTCGCGAAACAGCCCGAGAGCCCCTTGGGCAGAGGTCACCCCCGAAAAGCTTCTGAACGCTGTCGCTCCCTTGTCGCTTCCCCCCGTCGCCGACCCGTCGCCGACCCGTCGCCAACCTTGCCGCTGCCGTCGCCGACCTAGCTCCCTGCACTACCGAGCTTTCCCGTGATCTTCACCTTCGGCTCACCGCCCAGGTAAGTGTAGGGAAGCTTTCTCCTCCTCTCTTGGCTATATAAGACCTCCTTGGGGGAGGGATTTAGTGCTGGCCGAAAATTTTAGAGAAAGGGGAAGTGCTGCTGGATTTTTGTGGCTTGTTCGGTTTCTTGCTGGTTCACTCTATACCTTTGCTTGGTTGCTTGGTTGCTTGCTTGGCCATTGATATTTTAGGTTGAAGCTTTGATAGAAGAAGGTGCTATAGAAATTTTTCTGGGTCTATTCTTGCATTTACCTTGGATTTGCGCCAAGAGTTAGACTATTTCCCTCCCTTAAACGAGCGATTATTGCGTGCGGAGAGCGCGCACGCAGCTCCTCTCCGATCACAGCCGCACATCGCGGCTGTATGACAGTGGGCCGCGATGTGCGGCTGCGTGCGCTCTCCGCACCTACTAATTAGACCCCTTAAACACTCAGTAACATTGCTGTCTTTATTGCAAAATAATGAACTATGACGAATGAGATTCTTGAGGCAATACTGGAGCAGCTAGCATTGCTGTCAATGCTTTATGGCCATCTTCCCTTTCTTTCAAAGCTCGATGACATGTTGGCTATAAAGATGCATGCATATTTATATGATCCTGTTTTTTTTTTTTACTAGGAGTCGATTCATGCATATCAATCAAGCTGGTTTATACCTTTGATTTGGTTGGCTGCTTACTCATACAAAACATACCCTACGCATGGTATTTGATTATGGGTTTGATGGAATTAATAAAAAAAAATGCAAGTTGTTGTTTAATTCCCATGTTTGTAGTGTGTTTTTGAACAAACTGATTGAGAAAACATTTGCGGGAATGTTTATCTTTAGCTAGAAAGGATGTTAGAAGTTGTTTTTTTCTTTTTTTGCTCCAGATTTTCTTCTGTATACCATGCCTGCTAAATATTCTTTCCTGAGAAGAGAAAGGTTTGGCTTGCTTATTTGTAGGAATAGTAAGGCTTTAGTGTCTCATTTGTAAAAAAAAAAATATTTGAAAGTTTAGCTTTGCTTATTTGTAAAAATCTGAAAGTTTTGTGTGGCCTTTATGTAAAAATCTAAAACCTTAAGTGTCCAATCAGTAAAAATTTGCAAGTTTTGGTTGCCTGAGTCATATGAGAAGTGCACATACATGCCACTTAATTCTTTACATATGCGCCACTTAATTCCTTACATACATCTCACTCGATTCTTTACATACTTGTTGAAATTTTATAGGCATCGAGAGGCTTTCATTTGTTGTTCATACATTATCCATATCAGAACAAGATGTCTGAAGCTATCAAAAATTTGAAACGTTTCGATATTTGAATCTTTCTGTAAATCTCACTTAAATGCTAAGATCATTGAGCAGCCTTCATCATTTGTGGTTCTTAATCTATAAAATGTGGCCGAGGGATCTTATTCTGACGATTTCTTGTATGGAAATGTTTTTTTTTTTAAACTGCGTCACTTTGAATTGCCCTCAAATACATTTTCTAGTGCACCTGGAATTGGGAAATTAAGGTCACTTTAAGAGCTAAATGAATTTAGTGTTAAGAATGAATGAGAATTGTTATCAAATTGGAAAGCTGGAACATATGAGCAAGTTGTGCAAATTAAAAATACCTTTTTTGGAGAATGTGAGGGATGCTAGGGAGGCTCTCACAACAAAATTACTTGAGAGGAGAAAAATCACATGTTTATTCTTGAATTAGGGTTTGGGGTGTGCTCCTCTTGTTGCCCTACTCAATACACATCCCGGTGCTTTCTTCTGTCAGATTTGGATTTGTTTCTTATTGCTTCTATTCGGTATACCTGCTGAATTTGAAATGGATGTTTGTTTACTGCAACAGTGGTAATATGTAAATCTAATTCATGGATTAATTCATGGCTTATGGAATATGTAGAAATGCAAAGCAATTTATTCTTATGAATACATTTCATGCTTATGGACATGGTGATTATTTACATACATAGCACCTAAACTTTGATTTTCATGAGTTTTGCATATACCATGAAATTATTATATATATTTATATATTTAACACCCAAACTTCATTTTTACACACATGCCATTCGAGCCCATTTGGATATCTCTTTATATAATTGCTTGCTCGAGCACTTTGGGAGATAATTTTGACTAGTGACGTTAATATTTATTGGAAGAAAATAAGAGCTTGAAATTTCTTTTGGGTTCTTAATCCATGGGGATTTAGAAGTGGGAACTTAGAGATTGGAACATGTAGGTTATAAGATTACTTGGAAATTTATTCTCTTTCGATTTCATGATACGAAACACACGGAATTGTTGGAAATTGGAGGTGCCGCATTGGGTTTTGGAAAATTTTCACATGTGATACTTGTGTGAGAATTCTGAAACTTCGAGGAGTTTACTTTTTTTGAAAGACAAATGTGTATTGCAATATTTGGGGATTCAAACCGGATATCGTGGATTGTTTTAAACACAGTTTTGAAGCTGTTTTGGTGGCATGGCCGGGCCATAATTTTAAGACCATTTTGTGGCGTGTTTGGCTACAGTTTCTTTTAAGCTGCTTGTGGATTTGAAGAGACATAGTTTTGGAAATGATACCTTTTTGGTTGATCCGTTTGCGCAATTGGAGTAAATGATACCTTCTTGGGTTGATTCGTAGATCGGTGGGTCGCATTTTTGGGTCTTTTCATCAGTCGTTTTAGATGCGGTTTTGAGGGTCGATTCATCTCTTTACCTTTTTGTTCTTTCAGGTGGATTGTTCTCTCCTCTCTCTCACCCCATTTTTATTCTTTTCTTCCTTGTTTCATGGTTGGATTTATACACTTATGAACGAAGCATAAACACACACATATAACCTTTTGCTACATGTGAACCATCAAGTAGGGCTATAAGTTAGAAGGTTCATTTTGGCGTTGGGCGGTAATGACAAAAGGCACGCTGGTGGTAGAGTAGAATAATGTTCCATTCTACAACATCAGGCCCAGTGAACCGTATGATGATAATATTATTCACTGACATAAGACTAGCGGGACACCCTTGCCTTTTCAAGTTGTTTGCGGTCTCACGTCCGTCGGTGTGATCGACTCGTGGACAATCATATTTCTACAAAACTGATAAAAACAGATACTACATTTGCAAAAGTATTTTAATTACAAAATTGATATTACTTTCTCTTGTATGTCTGAAATTTATATGCATGCCAAAATATAAATTTTAAATGTAGATTTGATTGTCCACTTGTCAGTCACTAGTGTCGGGCTAAGGAGTACCCTTCTAAGTTGGTATAGTAGGACACTCTTCTAGCTGAATGTCGAGCTCTATACATACGGGTGACCGATAGTAGCCTTCGAAGTCTCTCGAGTATATATATATATATATATATATATATATAGTTTCTGCGCCCAAACCCGAATGCTTATAGTCCACTTCGGCTTTTGATCGTTCATTTGTTATTTTCTTTGAGATTTCTCAATGTTTTCTTGTAGTTTTCTTCAAGCTTATTTTTGTGAGCCACTTAAGTTTCATTTGATAAGTTACGGAGTGGGGAGTCCCAGGGGCAAAATGATAATTTTGGAATTCTAATACCTTAATTAAATTTTAGGATTAAACAAATGACAAATGGGTAAAAATATTGATTTTAATGAACTTTTTGGATGATTGAAATATAATGGGTTAAAAGGTAGAAACCAAGTTGTCACATGTCTCATGATAAAAATAAAATTGTAATTCTATTAATTATCATAATTTTGAGGTCAATTCAATTTGAGGATCCTAAAGTATTGAGCTTGAATTATGAAAATAATAACTCACCCATTTAAAGCCTATTAGTTGGTGATCAAATGCTAAATCTGATTTTGATGGAATTTCTAATTCAACATTTAAATTATTTTAAATCACTTTGAAAATTGAAGTTGAAAAGATGTCTAATAATGAATTAGGTTTGATATGCGAAATTGTCTTAATTGGGATTAGAAAAGATGAACATCGTTAATTAATAAATATTTTCAAATATTTTAAGCCCTACTTTAATTTGAGGTATTAAAGTCCTTAATAACCTTGAATTTGCCCTTTGGGGCATCCACTCACATAAATATCAAAATGAAATGTTAAGTGACTATTTGATTTTCTTATTCTTGAGGTAGTTAAGTTTTAATTCGATCTTGGGATGATTAATAGAACAATTTGATAAGTTTAAAGTGGACTCGAAACGTTTCAAGGGATTTCTAAAGCGGTTCTGGGTCATCCTACGAACACTTTGGATTCTCTTGGATTTTTTGAAGGACAAATTGAACTTGTTATGTTTTGTTCTAGGAAATCATCCACTAAAGTCTTTCAGCGGGAATGTCGAGAAGGGGACAGGTACGCTTTTAAATTATTGCATTTACATTTTTGTACTTCTTGTCTCGAGTTTGCATGTTAAACAACGATGTCATCCCGCATGAAAATCAAAACTGCTAGGAAACCAAAACTAAAATCAACCAAGATAAAATTGACCGCCACAACATTCAAAATTTAAGACAACTTAAAATTTAACCATAAGCATCACAAAACAACAATTGCAACTAAATTAATGCGTCTCTCTCAGATGATCGGGGATCCCTCGGAGGAGGTAATATACGTTTGCTAACGAAATTTCCCACGGTCTAAATGAAAGTATGAAACTCATTAAGTTGAGTTTTAATAAATTCATTTGGATTAAGTGAATTTGAAAGAAAATAGTGGTATCGGAACGAGAGAACCGTATGATCCTAACCGGTGTCGCTATAATCAATTTTAAAATGCCCCAAAACATTTAAAGAACTTTAACCATAGGGACATCTGATTTGACATTATAACTTGACACATTTAAAAACTTAAACTCATCACGATGGGGAGTTTGGAGCTAGCATTGTGGGCAGCACGACCATCTTTAACAACAAGATGATCTACAACAACATATCTTTCCTTAGAATTAAAAAACAAGCTATAGGATTTTGAGGTTGTTTGCTTATGCAACATAAATCCTCAACCTTTTCTTTAGGCCTTTGTATAGCTCTGTTGTACAATTTAAGCCCTAACTTATTTTAAGACTCTGAGATTGTCGTTCGTCACGACTAAGTCCTCACATTTTCCATGCTATTTGTGTGATTGTTTCACACGAATGTAAGTCATAAACTAATAAAATTGGCATGATGAAACATTTAAATATATGATGAAACATTTAAAATTGGCATGATGAAACATTTAAATATTTCTCATTAAAATTGAAGTCAAACCATAGGATAGCCTGGGAGGTCACCTAGGTTCTCCTCCGGATCTGTGACATCCCCTAGTTCTTCCTCTTTGAATTCTACAATAAATGTTCCAAATTTAAGTTATTCCCCTTTCATACATCTTTGTCTGATCTCATTAAAAAGTCATAATCCATTGACCTCTATGAAGATAATGTCCCCTGATTTTTATCGAGAGTTTTCTTAGGTGACTTTGGTTATCTAGGATGTAATTAACTATATGAGTTTGCCCTTATAGGAAGCATTTTCGAACCCTTCTATGAGAAATTTTAACATATTGTATTTTCAGGAGGTTTTTGTGTGATTGCATGGATCTTGTGCACTAAGCACGCATCCTTGATAGGTCGTTCTTTATCATTTATTGCAATTAATTTGTTCTATTTTCTTTTTCTGATTTGTTCTTGAATAACCGAACAATGGATACCCATTTTCTTTGAAGTAACATTGATAACTTGATTCTAAATGTAAAATAAAAATAATTTGTGCTTCTGTATTCCTTCTCCTGTGTTGAAAACATCACTACCTATTTTTATTTTTCATGTCATATGTATTATTTGATCTTTTTTATTGGTTTAGGGTTTAGGTTGTTTTTTTTAATTAGTTCAAGCTGCTCATTATAACCGTTGTGTGCTAGAAAGTTCCCGTCGGTAGAGTAATTTAAAGATTTAGTATTACATGAAGATCCATCACATAGTGATAAATGAAAAATAATGGAATGAGACACCATAATTTTTTATTTGGAAAAACTCTAGAAAGGAAAAAAAATCAGAGGGTCTGACCATGTTTACTATGTAATTAGAAGTACACTGTTGATTCTTCACGTAGATTAGGGAATAATAAATTCTAAGATTATGTTGAAATTATAGCTGTTCTAAAATAACCTAACGAACATAACTGTATAAAATAATAAATTATAAAATTATGTTGAAATTATAACTGCTCTAAAATAACCTAACGGACATAAATGTTTAAGGATAGTTGGGATTGTAAATATTGTTGTGTGACTAAATTAGTCATGGTTGGGTAATAATAGTCGTATTTAGTTATAGAAATCATAGTTAACTATACAAGATATAGTTCGTGGCTATAACAACTGTAGTTAACTGCATCAGCTATAGTTGGTGGTTGTAACAACCATAGTTGATTACATAAGTCATAGCTGGATGCTATAACAATTGTAGTTGGTTATAAAAGTTATAATTGGTGGCTATAACGGCCATAATAGGGCTATTAAAGTCTTAGTTGGAGACTATAACATCTATAGTTGGCGACAACAATTGCTACTGGTGTTCGACAATGACCGGTGATCAATGATGACCTCTAGTGGTTGATGGGAAAATCAAAGAATTGGCCTTCAGCCTTGACATTGATCTCTCCAATCATGCAATTTGAGCTTTGTCATAGAGCAGTTCTCTTTTTGGATTCTGTGAATTACAAATTTTGCACTATTTTATGAAGGATAGAGTTCTATTCTGATGCTGTTTGCATTTTTCAAGTGAATCATATTTTTTTAAGACTTCTTTTAAACTCTTTCAGCATTTTATTAGATCTTGGATATAATTTTTCATTATTTATGACCTGCTGCTTTAGGAAAATTATGATGGGGCTTTGCAAAATGATATAGAGTCTCTGCACGAGAAACCAATCTTAGGCGGTGCATCTTTGTTGGATCTGAAGCTAAAAATTGAAGAACTTGCTGATGGGTAATTGTCCGGTATATATCATTGAAGCTGGTTTCTTCATTTTCCTCTCATATGTTAGCTTCTGATATTGCAGATTTTGGAAATAAGGTGGCCAGCTCTACAGTTATCTCATCAAATAAACCAAATTGGAAGCTAAAGTAAGAATAAAAATGAAGAAATATGGAGGGAATTTAGCTTTTGCAATTTGGTAGCATGACCATGTAAGGTTAAAGCCACTTGAGAAAGTTTTTTTTTTTTTTTTCTGGTGGCCTATGTGCATGCAGGTCAGTAGTTACACTTGCCCTGACGTTGTTGACAAGTTCCCAGTCAATATTGATTGTGTGGTCCAAGAGGGCTGGAAAGTATGAATACAGTGTGACAACAGCAAACTTTTCGGTTAGTCAAGGTTTATAATGTAAATCTACATACGTAATGGTTATGAAATGAAGAAACTAATATTATAAATAAGAACGGCATTTTAGGCTAACCTGTAAAATACTAAAATGAACTCTAATCTTTTTTATTATTTATATTTATTGTCATCTGGTACTGAAGTAACTGACCTTTCTCTTCTAGGTGGAAGCTTTGAAGTGTGCATTTTCACTTGCAGCCCTTTTTAGGATCTGGAATACTGAAGGTGTCACAGAAAATAATAGGTTTGTTCTTTTCAAAATTCCACCTGCACCAATGATTTTCTTAGAATGTTTTGATTGATGCATATGAGTAGCTTTTTCTAATATTTATTTGCATAACATCTACCGAGCCTTTCTTCCATCTTGTATAATCCCAATGTGTTGACAAAAAAAATTAACTGAACAAGCTTTTGACAAATATTTAGGAAGCAATTTGCTAGTGTTTTAATCATATTGACGATTTTGTGAATTAAGCTTGCTACGTTTTTTAGCATATTTGTACACATGCTTTTTAGGATTGTCATAATAAAAAAGATTAAATCCCAAAATTGTCCCCTTTGGTCAATCTAGTCTTATTGTATTATATTTCTTCAATTTGGTCCATCAATTATGCAAGACTAATCCAAAAAAAATCCCTCATGAGAAATTTTGATACAAAATTGATTCCATTTTACCCCACAATAATACAAAATTAATCTCATTTTAGTTCATGAGGGATCATTTTGGATAAATTTTGTATAATTGTGGGGATTAAATTGGAGAAATGTGATTTTATGGAATGAAATTGACATGCGAATAATTCGGGACTAATTTGAAGTAGCCCTAATTGAAATAAGTCCTCAACTTTCACACAGAGTGTGAAAATATGTTATTAAGGTGCATTAATGGGGGTAGTTTTAAACCTTACTTTAGGATTTTAAATATACTTTTAGTGCTTAGAGGGTTGCTTTAAAAATTGCTATTGAAGGCGGTATTTATAGCATTCTAAAGTCGACCTCATCATAATGCTAACATTAAGGCTTTTGAACATCAACCAGAACTTGGGTTGTTGAGCTTACTCTCGCAATTTCATTTTCTTTGGTAAGAAGCTTGCTATTTCCAGCCACTAAAGTCTAACCAGCTGTCAGTATTTCGTTTGCTTGACTGAGCACATGCCATCTCATTATCTCAAGTGAAATCAATCCTTAACATTTCTGTTTTCTTTTCATTCTCCTTTATTGGCCCACCTGTTTTAAAGTATGAACTCAAAGCTTCTCTCATTTTCCTATCTATTAAACCACACAATGCATATGTTGCTTACTTGGGGATGCCAATTATAGTGGGGTCTTGAATTTCATCTCAATAAGCTTCCTTAGCATTTCCTCCAAGCTCTCGAATTGACTTTCAAATCGGTTTTCCATGGAGGAAAATCTTTTCCTTTTTGGTGGAAAACTTTTCCTCCATTCCAGATCTGATTTGACTTATCTTTTCCTTCTACTTATTCTTCAAATCATCTACTTTCTTTGCCTATCATTTTTTGAACAGTTTCAGAACTCCCTTAAGCTGCTATCCCTTGGTTAGTTTTTTATCGCGTTATAATGGTTTCAAGTTGGTGTGGAGCAGGAGGAGAAGAAAATTGGAGTTTCGGGCCTATAGGTTGCAATCCCGTTGCTGCCTTCCCAACTAGCTATTATCGCGAATGCCTAAAATAGGAGGTAAAATATGGGTCTCTGTAAGCCGCGATCCCGTCGTTGTAAGCCGCAATTCCTATAAATTGCTCGTTGGAATTGCGATACCGTCGATGCTTCCCAGCTAGCTCTTGCTGCGACTGGATTGACATATGTAGTGCGAAAGATGGGTCTATGTACGTTACATTCTTCCCCACCTTGCGAATGTATCGCTTACGCCGTGTCTTGTATGCGGCGGTCCAATCAATTCTTCTACTCTTCACAGGATCATTGTTTGAATACCAATTTTATACTATCCAAATTAATTTTCCAAAGAAATTAGGGCACAAAATATCTTTATTTCAAAAACACTAAATAACACAACACAAATACATAAAGATAAGCATCTACAATTCGAGAGGTAGGCTATCTCTCCCAAGTCCTATCATTCGAGAGGTAGAAAGTTTTTCTCCAAACCCTAACCCTAAGACTCACAACATTAATCTTATGCATACCTAACCCTAAACCTTGTAGGGTTTATTTATTTTAAATCAATAATAAATAATGAAAGACTAATCTGTCCTTAGCCACACAAAAGATAAAATTGTCCTTACGCTAAGCATCGGCATAACAGATTCCTAATATTATATAGATAGCCTTATGTATAATTTTCTCTTGATTGTCAGATAAAGGCATCAATCTTTCTATCCATTCCTATAATTTTACGGGGTATCAAAGTTTAGGTTAATGTCTCGATTTTGACCAATTTTCAACCAAATTCCCTCCGTCTTGTTTAGTGCCTTTATGACTTCTCTTTGAGAGATTCCATCATTATATCTGGTGAAGTCAGACTAATTTAGTTAATGGAGAACTTTAAGGATTATGCATCTTCTAACATCTGAATGGAAGAAATTATGTGAAGGGATCGTAAATCTCAAATTGTTATGTTATTCCTGAAAGGGAACAAGAGATTTCACCACCTTTTTGATCCTCTGTTGGATCTAAAAAACCTAAATTTTATACTTTGAGATGAATAAAAATCTATGATTATGCCATGGTTATGAAACTTCATAGTGCCTGAAGTTAGTGAACTTTTCTTGTTCCTCGCAATAATAAATGAGTGTAGAAAGTTGTTCAACAAATATACTCCAAGGTCTATAATAGTGCACTCATGGAATGATGCAATGAAGGGTTTCTTGTTGAAATCTCAAGATGAGAAGTTGTAATAATATTGTGGTTCTAAAATAGTATGCAGAAAGATAAATAATATTTGATTTTCTTGCAGGTGTATGTGTAGAATTTGACCAAATTCATATCCAAATCTTAGGTAAAGACATCTTGTCCTTAATGAAGTCTTCTCCCTTATACAATTTGAAGAAAAGAAGGATGATAATGTTGAAAACACCGAGCTTCGAAGGGTCAAGGATATTGCACTCATCTCTCATGTTATAGGATCTATTTTCCAATCCAACTGGCATCACCTATCTAATTTATTTTTTTTATCTTATTTCTTATTTATATCACCAAAATATCTGAACATTAAGTGATGCAAAACTTGAGATTTATAATTTTCATTCATACAGAATGTAAATTTTAAGAAGAATTGCCTGAAAGATGAACCGTTTATTGTTGTGAGAATTTCTATGAATATTTTTTAGGATTTCACCCTAGCTTTGTATTGGTATGCTTATTCTCCATTTCTTTTTGAAGTTCCTTGGATTATCTAGTTTTTTGGTGCTATGACCCTTCTAAGATTTCTTTGATTTGTTCTATGGCTTCTCTGCTTTTTGGAAGTGAAACCCTTGATTTATTATGTATGCATTTATTTCTTGCTATTCATTTTCAAAGGCTAGGTGATGCGGGGCGTCTTCCGCTTACGAAGCGGACACGAGATCGCGTCCCAGCATGGGTGCGGCAATTACTATGCGTAGGCCGTTCGATCCAAGCACGGGAAGGATCGGCCTGTGCTTTCAAGCACAGACTTCCTCCTATTTTGAGTGGGGTCCACTCCTATTTACCCTAGGCATATATATTTGCTTTTTGTGTTTTAGGTTTTCAGTTTTGGATTATGTTTATGTCCCGATAGCCGCCGGCATCCCCTAGTTTTCCCTCTATGGTTGTATCAACAAGCGAGTGGTGTTCCGACTGTATCCCGTCTCGAGGTGGCGATCATCTTCCACAGGTCGAACGGTGCTCTGACTGTATCTCATTCACGAGGGGATATTTATCCTTTCCCAACGTCTTCTCATCCCTCCCGCTTCACTACAAGCATTCATCCTCACTGCAGTCGCCCTGACAGTGGTTTTTTTGCTGTTCTTCCTGTAGTTTCTCGTTGTACAGCCATCCTTTTTACTATTGCATCCCCTGAACAGCCCTCCTTTTGTTGTGACGCAGTCCCATGTATTCCCCGCCACTGCTGCCATCATTCCTGCTCGCTGCCTTGCTGCTGTTCCAGCCCTCCCGAACCACATCTCTGCTACCTAGCTGCTGCCCAAGCCTCTCGCACTGCCTTCCTGCCACATATCCGCTGTCCCAGCCACCCTAAACCCCCTCCCACAGCCTAGCTGCTGTTGTTGCCTCCCAACACCGTCAGTACACCCTAACTGCAGTCATATCTTTCCTACCCAGCCCACCTATCTACTTGCTTTTGTCCCGGGCAGTGATTATCTCCTGCTTCCTTGCTGTACCGCCCACCTACTCCACCTCCCCTACCTTGCTGTCACCTTTCCAGACCCTCAACGGCCACCACCATCACCACTGTCAGTACACTTTAGTTGCAATTTGTGTTGTATATTGCTATTTTTTATTTTTTGTATGTTGGTTGTAACTGCCCATTGACGTTTTCAATAATAATAATTTTTTTGTTTATAATTTTTTTGGGTTTTTTGTTGTCATTTTTGTGGGATTTTTGCAAATCTCGTGACTTCCTTGTGTAAGCTTCTTTTTTTTTTTTTACTTGCGATACTTGCGACGTGGACTATTTTTATTATCCTCTATTTTTTTGACCTCATCTTTATTGATTCTTAGTTACAATCGCATCACGCTGGCAGTCTTTTTCCTCTAGTTTTAGGAATTTTTTCTTTCTAACGAAACGCACGCCATTCTTTTGGTATATCGTGATCGGTGAAAAAGTATTCCAAAGTGGGATTCATGCAAATCAATAGGACTCTGAAGCGTGTTTAAATCTCGATCAATTTAATTTTGAATATAATTTTAATTGCATGTATTTTTCCTATTTTTGAGTCAGCTCTTTGTTCAAGCGAGCAAAATTGAAAATTTGTATGAGAGGTTATCCAGCTTGTTCAAACGTGAGGTTTATTTTTTGGTAAATTCTTTACTTATTTTAAATTTTATTATTGGATAATTCATGTGATTAATTGCTCAAATTTGTTTCAATCTAGTTTTCAATAGGTGCACGAATTTAATATGGTTTTGCCATCTAGTAATTTTTGTTTTTATTTCTCATAGACCATTTGTTTTCTGTCTAAGTTGTTTTTTTTAATATTTTTGGATTTAATGGTAAGTATCAAATAAATGTTAGAAATATTAAGATTTTGTCCAAAATTGTGGCGTGTGAATTTTATGTTTGTTGCATGATTTATCATAATAATTTTGTATTAGAAATCTTAGATCATAAAAGTTTTGAGATCAGAATTAGACATCAGCAAATGAAATAATTTATTAGTAGATTTATTTTCCACAAATTTCGAGCTCAAAAGATTTCTCATTTGTTTTTTCTGATTTTCTAATGCATTATTTTCTTCTTAGATATCAAGAATTATCTATAGAACTGGATGACACGAAATTCTTTTTATTCATATCTCTTGGGATCTTTCTCAGGTTAAGTGCATCATTTGATGAAGTTAGCGTCTACCCGATTCCTGCAGCACTCTACCTCATCAAGAACTTGCTGCAGGTTAGAACATATAAATGTAATAAATGATGGAACTCTTCAATACGAACCATTAATCTCATCACTAATTTGATCATTTTTATGTTAGTACTACATCTTTGCATATGTGGATGCCCCTGCTTACCAGATACTGAAGAACCTAAATATTATTACCACTGGTGTTTTGTATCGCCTTATACTAAAAAGGAAGTAAGAAAATTATCGTAAGTAAATTCATTGATTTCCTTACATAACAACTGCATGTGAAGCATTTCTCCATCTTGACTTTGTTTCAGGCTAAGCGAAATCCAGTGGGCAGCTTTTATTCTTTTGTGCGCAGGGTGTACTACAGCTCAACTCAACCCTTCGTAAGCATAAATTCAACAGTACCCGCAGTCTTGTCTGTTTCTGATCCATACTTAGTTAATTGGCTTGCAAATATTAGATTTCATTTCATAATTATGGTGATGGTAAGCTTAAGGTGTAAATTTTCCTTCGTAATAGAGAATAACTTGACGAAATTTTTGCATATTTTTTCTTTTTCTTTAGAAAATTCATTGAGATATTACTTTTATTTAGTCTATTTTTTATATGTATGGATTATGGAGATTTGTGTCTTTTCTTTTCCAGTTCCGATCGAGTTCTTCATACACCTTTACCGGGTTGGATGATGGCTATTGTATGTTTATATTATGTCATTTCTTTTTCCTTTGTGGATCTGCTGGGGTATATTACTCTTAATGCGTGTTATTCCAACATCAATGTTGTGAACAGGTCATGGCACTTCTAAGTGGATTCGCTGGTGTTTACACAGAGGTAACTTCTATGAAGTGGAAAATTGGTTCCATCATATATTTATGGAGCAGACTAATACTTGCTGTTCCGTTGCAGGCCATCATTAAGAAACGCCCTTCAAGAAATATAAATGTACAGAACTTTTGGCTCTACATCTTTGGAATGTTATTCAATATGATTGCAATTTTCATTCAAGATTTTGATGCAGTTGTCAACAAGTAAGCTGAAGAAAAATGTCTGAATCTGTATTCCTTGGCTTTCTGATACCAAAATCATGTGTTGTTAATTTCTATTTCAATTGATTATTTTTCTGCACAGCGGCTTCTTCCATGGATATTCTTTCATTACTGTCTGTATGATTCTCAACCATGCACTAAGGTACCTTAGAAACTTCTTTGCTTTAATAATGTTTCCTATGCATGATTTCTGATTTAACTCATGTATGTGCAGTGGGATTGCAGTGTCTATGGTAATGAAATTCGCTGATAATATTGTGAAGGTAATTCTGATAAAATTACAGAGTATTTGTTAGAACTTGTTTCATTTTTATGCAACTAGTAACTTTAACCTCATCAAACAATGCATATTGTCAACCCTGTTTTAACCAGCGAGCTTTCAACTTGACGTGAAAACTTCTACAGGATTGTTAATTGGAAACATTGACTATATTGTTTGCAGGTGTATGCAACTTCTGTGGCAATGCTTCTGACAGGAATTGTTTCGGTGTTTCTTTTTGGATTCAATCTTTCTCTCGCCTTCTTTCTCGGCACAACGTAAGTTACTCTGATCAAGCATCTTGTTGATAACGAGGCATCATTCAATATTCTAATTAGTTGGTGACCACTTATTAAATGTATTTTTGTGGTGTGAGAGTTCATTCAAGTTTTATTGCAGGGTTGTATCTGTTTCAGTATATCTTCATTCTGCTGGAAAGTCATAGAGGTATTTCACTGCAAAATGGTCGGCTGTGTAGTTTTAATGGAAGAAAATACTATGTAATTCAGAATCTGCTTGTTAGATGCAATAGTTACCATATTGTTTCTATTTACTATTCAGATTACAATTATTCAATTTCTTTTTTATTAATCATGATTTTTTTATGCTATAAAAAAGAATTTTGCTAGGCAATAGATCAATTTGTATTGATTCCAACTTAGCATTCCTTATTGAAGAAGATGCTTATATTTTTCTGTTATTTTTGTGGCAGTTGATATGTATATCAGGTAGATTTTGGTTCTCTCTTTTTTGTTCGTACGGATGCTTAAAGTTTTACAGGTTGTAATAGTTTTTAGAGAAATGTTTGAATTGCCAAGTTTCATTGTGAAATCCTGCTTATTTTGATTTTTGAGTGTATCATAAAGGTTATTTCCATTTATCCGCATAGATTCAGCAAATAAGTTCACTGTTTTCGCATTTCTCTACTTTTTATAGCTTTTAAATTCGTATTGGCCCATCCATAGCGTTCACTTTGTTGTTTGATAAAGTTAGGAGATTAAGTTATCTTTGGTAAATTTGATTGCTTTGTTTTCAATGAACGTAACATATTAGCTTTTATTGGTTCAAAAAAGTTTGGCTAAAAGTATTGCAAGACATTTAAATTGTAGCTGATATTATAGTGTCATATTTAATTTTGCCTATCAATAGATGTTCAATGGTCATGTGCAGAAAAATTCTCTCTTATGGGAATTATTTCTCCATAATTGGTCTGACTTATCCTTGTTTAAGGAGTTCAACCAAGTTCACTGTATAATAATTATTTAGAAAACATTTTGGACCTTAACTTTTCCTTTTTTTTAACTTCACTTTTTTTTTTTTTTTTTTTTTTGATAAATATTGGGACAAACTATGCCAAAATCGTGGTCCGTTAAAAATGGCCTAAACTTGCCTTGAAAGGGTATGACACGAGATGGAAATCAAGTAATATCAAAGCTTGTGCTGACACCCAATACTAGGAAATTTTAATATGCCAAAGAACTATTTAAGGTATCCTCACAAAAAAATATATCATGTTAAGTCTCATCGGGAAATTGGAGAGTTCGAATTTCTTTTTCAGTAATTGTTAGTTATAAGTCACTTGCCTGGTTTAAATTGCGGACATTTTATAAAGAAAATTTATAATATAAATTGTCATTGTTCATTGCTTAGTGCTTACTCAGCCTTTTTCAAAATCCTTCAGAGTGAGTTCATCAGTTTTTTTTTTTTTATACCTGATCATCTATTTGGCAAAAAGATGTCGGTGCAGTCAGATTTGCTGCCAGATACACTGATGTCTTTCTTTTTCAAGAACTTCAACCCAGGTGATTTTTTCTTAAATTTCTAGAGATTTGAGTCAATTTCATGTCTTTTTGGGGGCAGTCGTAGCTTATTAAAAAGTTGTCGTCCGGAAGTTGATGCACAGAAGCTTCTGCTGGTATGACTATCAAAAAAGTTTGTTGTTCGCAAACAACTTGTGTTCGGATTGTTCGTTAAGTGCATAAGCCGAACACGAACAACCCTTTGTGTTTGTTCGTGATCGGTTCTTTTTAGCTTGAAATAAAGAAACTATATATATTATTTATATAATAATATATTATTTATATTTATATCTAAGCTTAAATTATAATAACTTGTGTGGTCATGTGATTCTACATCTTCTATTGTACAGAATTGGTGGATGTTCGAATCCAACACTTTAAATCTATTTTTTCAATTATTTTTAACGAGCAATTTTCAAGTTGAGCATGAGCCAAAAAAGAACAAGAAGATTTAAATCGAGTTGAACACAAACGCATTGTTAATGAGCTTATTTTAAACATGTGTCTATTTCAAAAACGAGCAATTTTGAACAAGCCGAACATGAGCCAAGTTTGAGCTCTCTCAAGCTCGGCTCATATACAACCCTATCTGCAAGGAAGTTGTGTGTCTGTTTTGTGCAGTTATGCAGCAACAATGTTTCAATTGTTTATGATAAAAAGACCTTTCTGCTCATTTACTATTGTGTTATTTATAATTGAATTAGTATTGGTATGAAAACTGACACCTCACTACAGTAACACGATAATCAAAGATAAAAAAAATTTATTAAAATAACAATTAATATTATCATAATGTTGAATTTATAATGTAGATTAGTTTCATGAGATAATCTCTGCTCTAACGAAACTCTCCACGTTCACTATCGGAGGTGGGATCATTGAACTGATCCACCCACCTGAAGAAGTCGCAATTTTTTTATTATTCCTTTGACACTTGTAAAATTGTCTCTCATAGTTATGCTCCTGTCATAAAGTAAGCAGAGAAAATTGTAGTTCACAATAACAATATAATACTCTCAAGGCACAGAAGACCTCAAACTCATCTTTTCTGAAGGTTTAAAGCCACAAAACATAGACCCTTAGGTACAATATTAATAAAAAAAAGAATAATAGAAATGTTCAATTAAAGTTTTAAAAAATTGTGAGGTCTTAAAGCATAAAGTATAAACCAATGAACAATCGTCGCTGCAATAAGACAGTAGATCTTTAAAAAAAAGGTTTTTGGTTGTGTTTAAATCATGTAATATTGAACTCACATGTGTCACAAAAGCATATCACCATAAATGTCATTTTAGAAAAACCCCACCAATCATGAACGGAGAAAAAGGGGGTTCTTAAATCTTTTTTTTTTTTTTTTTTGGTGTTAAGATAGTGGTGACATGGAAAGCTTATAGTTTTTTTGTCATCGAGCTCTATAGGTGCCTCAAATGTGGCTCTCTTTATTGAAGGCAACTTTCACATTCTCTTATTTAAATTGTTATTCTCAACAAGTTGATCTTCATACATGACATGCAATCGCTCGTATTTTATTTCTAAGAAGAAACCAACGTACTAACAGAACTTATTTTCCACAAGCCTCAATGTAAAGCAAGCATAACGGCAATTTTTTCAACATTTATTCATCTGAGTGAAAAAAGCATAAAGGCCTAGTCGTATGTGATCGTGCTTGACTATTTATTCGATCTTAAGTGATCGACATTATAGTCTACTATGGCTTTATCTTGTTCTACAAGTCAAGTGAAGGTGTTCATGTCATTTTTATCTCAATTTTTGAAGGTATGATAGAGATGCACCGTAGGCTTCTTCTTCTTATTAACCTTGCTTTCCTTAGAGATGACTTGGTTATATGACTTTTATACTTCTTCAATTGTTGTCTTGACATGGATAGGCACCTTGCTCAATGATGGTGCCTCCTCCCTTAGATACAACCACATTGTCTATTATTGAAGTAAAGTCAAAGTTGCTACTTTATGGAGTCTTTTTGGCATGGTTAAAATCGACAAGGCCAAGGTGGTATGGGTGGAGCGGACACCAGAACTTCTAGTATAGTCAAAGTTGCTACTTTTTTTTCTCATTATCCTCTCCCTCTTAATTTTGGCATATATTCAGTACTTCTTCAATGTATTCCTTATGTCAGAACATATGGATGAGGATTCAAATCAACATCCTCATCTAAGTACATGTTGATGTTGGAGGATCATCAATAATGTTAAAACCAACAAGTTTGAATGAATTGACCAACTTCATGAATATATAAATTTAAAATTGAAAAATTCAAATTCATAGTTTGATGCACGCATTCATTCAAATTTAATTATCCCTTCTAGAAGGGAGTTTTTATTATCCCTTTAGGCTTCTCATAAGGACAATAGAATTAGAGGTTTGATGCATACATTCGTTTGGCTTAGATTAATCAAACCATGATGAGTGCTTAGACTAGGTTCAATGATACATTAACTGAGAATCATTTTGAAGCTCATCAAATTTAATAGCTCAAAGTAACTAAGAGTTGCATCTCACACAAGAAATGTGATTTAATTTGATATCAAAACTTTGTACTAAGTCACTAAAATAGCTTGACCAAGGGACTCGCGAGTTGCGCACTCTTTTGAGTATCTACCAAAAGAATTTGTTAACTTAAGTCTTTAATTAGAGAAGGACTTGCCTGCAACATCCCAAAGGAAGCCTACTTCATGACTAACTAGGCCACTACATAGCTAGGTATCATCGTTTCAACCTATTTATTTTTTTTATAATTGTACTATATAGCCAATTTTGTAATGATAGTCATATTCTCCGCATATAAATGAGAGGTTAATGGTCAAATATAGTCACATGAAAACTCTCAAAATACACAATTTGGAAATAGCTTCTTATAACTTTATTTTAGTCCTTTCTCTTTTTTAAAACAAAGGAAGCGTTTGTTTCGGCCTTTTGGGCAAAATTCATCCTCGTTTATGTCGAACTTCAGATCCTACATGTAGAATACATTGCTCTTTTTTGTTATAATTAATAATAAATGTATTTGAACTTACTGCTGTTCTAAGCAGCCAACTTTGCTTCCCAAGTATGATGCTTAGGGCATTTTATTTTTGAGGTGAGAACGACAATGCTCTAAGTTGGGATGGAGTTGGTTGTGCCCAATATAAGGTTAGTGTTGGGGTCAAAAGTAATTTTTCATCATGCAATTTTTACAATTTTTGTTTATTAGGACTAAAAATCTCTTTTGTGCAATTTTTTCGTTGCTTTCTTTTTTCAAAAAGCTTTATTTTTTACATTTCGCTACAAATTTTTTTATTCTCTTATAAAAAATTTGAGCAACGACACATTTTTTTAACATGTAGTTATAGGAATTTCCAACTTTGTTGGAAGAGAGTCTATTATACGCACAATACCTTTCAAAGGCTATTTTCATATCCAATAGCAACTGTCCTGAAGGAACACCAAGCGCAACAACATCATCCTCACATTCATAAGAAATTATCTATAAATTTCGATTAATAATTTATGATCTAATTTAAACTGAATTCGTTATCATGTCACATAAAAACCTATTTTAAATATTTTATTTTATGATAAACTAAACAAAAGACCAGCCATATACCATGATTCCATACATATCATCTGATTTAGAGCTCGAATTCATGAACTTAAACCAAAAATATAGGTTTTTGGTATGATGACATGAATATATTTGAAAAAAAAACTATATTTTTTTTCTTCCATCAAACATTGTTTGATTAAATATTAAGAATATTAAATTTTAAAATTAGTATGAATTTATGATGAGCTATAAAGAATTTCTTTTTTGCAGATTAATGCAAAACGAGATCGTTAAGATTTGTGCGTCGCAAAATTAAGAGTAATGGACAGCAAATGATTATATTAAAGGAGCAATTAGAATAAGAATATATTGAAGATAAAAGGTAGAAAATAGGTGCACGTGCATATGATTTGATCAATTACAATGAAAGGGAGAAAATGAAACGATGAGATAAATTCATAATTAATGTCAAGATTATGCCAAAAAAAATTAGGGATAATTACATAAAATAGCACTCGAAATAATGCTATTTACAAAATCTAGCAATCAAGTGAAACTTTTGAACCACCAAACCGATGTATTTACATGCAATGAAAAATATGGGTTGGGTTTTATCATGAATTCTGATATTTGAGTAAGAATTTGAAAAATGGATGAAAGTGAGTGCTAGATTTGTAAATAGCAATGTTTCGGATGCTATGTATGTCATTGCCCCAAATATTTAGGTATCGTAAAGGTAACATGTGCAAAAGAAGTTAAACAAAACAAATAATAATTATTATTATTATTATAACACTTCATGCATTACTCAACAAAGACTATAAATAATGATTTATTAGGCCGACTGTAAATAGTAAACATCAGACTACTGATGACAAAAACGACATTGTAAGTTCTTGATATCATGAACTAGAACTGTTGTCATTCCCTTAAATATAATGTATAGAAATAAAAAACAAAGCCTCAGATGAATCAAGCTTCAAGCCACCGTATCCAAAACTTTGTTTATAACCGAGTTGAAAACAAGATATATGGTGAATAAATATCATACCGCCATAGCATAAACTCCACATTTTCCCAGCAAACATGCAGGCCTCCACCATCATGACTCTCTCCTTCCTCTTCTTCTTCTCCATGCTCCGCCATTCCTGACGAATTCTCCATGGTGGGATACAGACAGGAGGGCCTGACATCCAGTGATCGTCTGATTGATCACTTTGAATCATGGATGGCCAAGCACAAAAAGTCCTATGCCACCATTAAGGAGAAGATGAGAAAGTTTGAAGTGTTCAAGGATAATTTGAAGCATATTGATGAGACCAACAAGGAGAGGAACAGCTACAGGCTTGGGCTCAATTAGTTTGTTGACCTTGGTCATGAAGAGTTCAAGAAGATGTACCTTGGTCTGCAGCCGGGAATAAGGAGACAGGAAGCCATTTTAAGTGATATCAGTGAGTTAATGTATGAGAACGCCGTAGAATTTCCAAAATCTGTCGTTTGAGGAAGAAAGGTGCCGTCAACCCCCATCCAAAAACTAAGGAGCATGTGGTAAAAACACTAAAAATGTCGAACAAACATTGCTTATATGCAAAATATAGCCAAAACTGGTTCAAAGTTTCATAATGGCAAAAAACAATCAGCAGTGGCATTGGCTTAATCACCAACAATCATATATACGCTTCTTTAAGTACATAGCACTTAATTCCTACGTATTTACACATCTAACACCTAAACTTCAATTTTTACATATTATGCCACCTTACCTATGCATTAAGAAAGGTGTATAACTTTTTAAAAGTTAAAAATGATGGTATTTTTATGTGATATGAAAGATTTGGGTGGCACAAATGTAAAAAGTGAAGTTTAATTGTTAGATATGTAAATACATGGGAATTAGGGGGTATGAACCGAAATGTCCCTTCCATTAAAACCTGAATTGTGTCATTAAGCGTCACATGATGGCTGCACGTAGTTGCTGGGCATTCTCTAGGCGACTGCCAAAAGCCGTACAACAACGGTTGCAATGGAGGGGGGTTGATGGACTATGCCTTCCACTATATAATCTCAAGTGGGGGACTCCACACTGAGGATGACTATCCCCATCTCATGGAAGAAGGCACATGTGATGACAAGAGGGTGATATGCTAAATATACACAATTAGGAAAAGTTTCAGGCCATTTACACACACACCACACAATTCTCATGCATTTACATATCACCACCTAAAACTTTCATATTTACACACATGGCACTCAGAACTTAAACTTTCATATTTACACACATGGAACTTAGAACTTCAATATTACATAAAAAAGAGCACTATGACCACTTTGTAAAAGTGAAATGCATCTTTTCATGCATAAGTTTATTGCACCAAAATGCAATTGTATGTAAATATGAAAATTTCAGTGTGAGTTCTGTAAATACCTAAAAATTGTGTGCTGCGTATTTAAATTTCGCAAAAGTTTATAACCTGTTGGAGAGTTTCCAGTTTGAATTTGTTGAGTTGCCTTCTTTCTGTGCAGGGACCGCTGCAGGTTGTGACCATTAATGGATATGAAATGTGCCACAGAACAACGAAGCCAGCCTTTTGGCACACCAGCCAGTGAGTGTTGCCATTGAAGCCTCTAGTAGAGATTTCCAGTTTTATAGTGGGGTAAGATCAATAACAACGTGTATCATAAATTCTGGTTTTTGAACCGTATCAAATCAGGGCTTGTTCATGATGACAGTGGCTCTTTGATGGTCATTGTGGTACTGAGCTGGATCATGGAGTTGCAGCCGTTGGATATGGATCAGGTAAGGGTCAAGACTACGTCATTGTTAAGAATTCATGGGGATTCAAATGAGAGAAAAGGGTTATATCAGGATGAAAAGGAGCACAGCGAAAAATGAAGCAGTGTGTGGAATCAACAAGATGGGTTCCTACCCAACCAAAAAGATTTGAACCAAGAAAGATTTTCATCTTGAGTTTGTATTTATGTTTCCCCTTAAATGTCTTCTTTGTGACCCTAAGTTTCGGGTATTGGGGTATATACAACAGATATCAGGAATAAAAACTGTTCTATTTTGTTCCTAATATAATTTGCACACAGATAAGGAAAAGTAAGAATCAGTTGGATCACTAAAAAGATATAAATTCAAAATAACATTATGTAAATATAATTTCACAGGAAAACATAACTCACCAGGCCGTCGTGGAGATATTCAAATATTTCACGGCAAGAACTAAACAAAAGAGTGTAATCAGTATACAAAGAAACCCAACAAGTTTCAAAGTCTGCCATAAGTTAGACAGATTTGAAAAAGAAACCGCAAGGAGAATTAGAGGAATACTAGTATAAAGCCACTGGTAAAAAATACAGACACTTTGATTCTGTCAGCCATACAATTTACTGTGGCCCTGCCCGCAATTAAGTTAGAAATAATTCTTTAGATATTTAAGCGAGAAATAAAAAAGCATGCCAGAAAAAGAAAGAAAATGAAAATGGTTATATATTATCAATACATCCTCTGGCTTACACCTGTGTCCCTCTTAAAAGGATAAAAATAATCTATTCCCAAAAATACATCAAAGCATTCCCAAAAATACATGACTGCAAAAGATGCACCGATTGAAAATGTGGAATAATGAGCCATTTATAATAATCATATTGCATAAAATTTCAGTTTGTGGAAAGTGTCCGCAAGAAAAATCCAACTGCTACGAATCCCATCTCATTAATTCACAACCTCATTGTACTTAAACACACAATCATAGAGCCTCCCTCCCAAGAACTGAGCAACCTCTGGATGCTTCACCTGCATAAAAATACAGTTTTGAACTAAGTAATCAACGATTTGATATCTAAATTAAATAAAACTATGGAAAATTTTACTAATACCATTCCAACTTTGACTGAATCACATTTCATTTGGGCGTAAAGATTTGTCTCTATTGCCCGTCCCTGCATGTAAAACATCAACGTGAGCATCCCCTATAACAATAAGCAGGAATAACTACTTTTGGGGATTTGTGCTTTTCTTCTCAATTAATACCATTCCCTCCAACAGAACCAGATCAGCATCAGCAGCCAGATATGCCAGCTCTGGTGATACATTTGTAAGATCAATAACCTGGAAAATGAGATAGAACTGGATTTACATCAATCGAATTAATAATACCTGGATTTATTAAATATATTAAAACCGTAGTCCATAAAAACCATACCGGTAAATCATTTCCAGAATTTGCAACTAGCAGACCAGACATATCTACACCAGCAAGGTACCCTTTTTCGTCCTTCAGCTGAAGATGGAGCAGTCAAATGCATAAAAATAAAAAGGATTCAGAAGAGCAATGCAGCTTATCAAAGCAAGATGTCCTTTACCTTTGAAATAATATTATGTAATTCTAGATAAGTTACATCGTTGATTGAAGGAAGCTCATTAGCAGCTAAAACAACCTGCAATTTTCCAAAGTTGTACATGTCGCAAAAATAACGGTTATTGCATGTATATGAAAAGAATTGAAAAGTCATATCATAGAAACACATCTCAGTGATGAAATATATGCGTAGGCTGAACACAACTAGTAGATGTGGCAACTGTCGGTAAGAGCCTAACCTGTGTACCACGCCGAAGTAATTCTCTCGCAAAGGGCAATATCCCCAAAATAATATCTGCCCCAGAATTATCAACAAAAATAATAGCCTGTTAAGGAAACAACAGAAATAGCACTAACATTAATGAAGAAGAAATTACTTAAAAGAGGGCAAATTGAGAGCGTAGATAAGTAAGCCTCTCTAATCTGATAGCAGTCATTCTGAAATTAGAACATTATAATCTGATTATCAGTTATAACTTATGAGTAAAGATGCATGAAAAATCAATAATTATCACATGCCTATATTAATACAAGATAAACAGGGATAGAACCAAATTGATGTGAAGACAATGACAACTGTAAGTTGCATCATATTTACATCAATACAAATTACATGGAAGAGGACATGCTCCACATTTAAAACTCCAACAACTGTAACCTCCATTGTTATCCAAATTTTTTTTAAAAAAAGCACATTCTATGTTAGTCAAGAATCACTCAGTAAATATTCAGAACTATAGTCCTTGCACCATATTTTTATACAAATTCATTCCACATTATAAATATGTGATAAGCATTACCTTTTTCCATGACTTGTTGAGCCATTTGCCTTTAAAAGTATCCAGGTCATCAATAACCCAGGGTCTTGAGAGAAGATTCTGACAACTTGCCAGAAAGGACATGCCATCCCTTGCAAAAACCTCTGCAAGCTATGGAAAATAATACACAGAATTGTCAAGAGAATTTCAATTAATAAAAATAGACATAAATCTCATAGATTTCATTTCTTCAAAGTTTAAAACTAAAGTAGTAATTCATGGTTCAATGAAAAAATCAAAAGAACTAAAATGAGATAGCAAACAGATAATAAGTTTCAATTTACCAAATGATCGGATCTGACAAAGAGCATTTGTGGCATTCTAAATAGCTCCCAGTACAATTCCTTCCAAAATGTTGTTATATTTTACCCATAAATTACTTATCATGACAATCCAACTCAGATTGATAAAGGAAAGGTAGGTCTGTCAAAACAACCTGTTGTTCGCGAACAGCTCGTGCTCGGCTCTTTAAGTAGCTCAAGTTTGACCGGTTCATTAAGCAAACGAGCTGAACAAAAACAATTTTTTTGTGCTCGATATATAAACGAGCCGAACACAAACAAAAATTTGTTTGTTCATGTTCGGGTTATTTTGGCTTAAAATAATTAAATTGGCTACGAAGCTACAAGGATTTATAATCGATTAAAGTTATTAATTAAAAAATAAAATAAAAATATATTGAATTCTATTTAAATGAATATTTTAAAATAAATAATAAGATTTAAATATCGCCCCTATGCTTAACACCCTACGGCTGTGTGACTAGGGCTGTCAAAATGCCACGTTTGCGAACAACTCGTGTTTGACTTGCTAAGCAAATAAGCCGAAAACAAATAATTTTTTTGGGCTCGATATATAAACTAGTCGAACACGAACTATGATATTTTTTAACAAGCCCAACACGAGCCAAGCCTGAGCTCGCTCGAGCTCGGCTTGTTTGCACTCCTAAGGATAGGGTATAGTATCCTTCATGATTTTGGATCTCTACTTGTAGGCTAAAGATGATCTCCGGTTTTTGGTGGATTTTGAAAATGCTTCATAGACATCAAATAGTTCAATACACAAAATGCCTCAGATGCTTAATATAACTATGCTAATTGCAATCTGTAAAATGAACAGTCCTATATTAGCAATAAGCTCCAATTGCTAAGGAGGTAATCCCCAATTTCTCATATTTTAGAAGTGTTTTCCATTAAACACATATAGCCATAAATGCTCATTATAAATATATACGTGCACTATTCATAATCTTGGGAAGTCCTATATTATGTTATATTTTGAGGAGAAAAGGTTGGTGTGTTATTCACTATAGAAATCCCCTACTTAAAATAGGGAGATGAATGCATGCCAAGGTACGACAAAATAAACCCATGTCACTCACTACATGGAGTACCTTCCATATATTAAAATTTATATAACAGCATCCACCCTCAAGGTGAGGCATATATATTAGTTTGTTTTCATTTATTTCATAATTGTGTGATGCGAACGGGTCCCAAAGCTTCCGCAAAAATATCAACCACTTGCTTTAAATGGCAAACATGAAGAGTGAAAATCATTTCAGACAAAACATTCAAATGAAACTAAGGATGCGCTTGGGAGAGCTTATTTGCAGCGGTGGCGTTTTCAAAACTCCGTTGTCATTTTTGTATTAGACGCGGATCATGTGTAGGACCCCGCGATCCACGTTTCATATTGTCGAAAGATGACTAATGCCCCTCCTCACTCCTGCCCTAATCTCGCAAGCGGCGAATTGAACTATCCCTCTCCGATCCAATCTAGCACAGCGTAACACTCCGTCACTTGATAAGGTTCTGCTACGGCTGGCTATTTTTGGATCTGAGGCGCCGGCGGAAGCTCCGGGACCGGAGCCGTCCACGTCGAGGAAGAAGAAGAAGGAGGCAGCGATGAGCCGACGGCTAGTCCGGCGAAAGAGTATGCCGGTGCTTCTTGTGGTTTTAGGTTGAGTTGGATGTGGAGGGGAAAATGGGCTGTTTTAGTTGTTGTGGGGAGGTTGTTCTGCCTTTGTGAGATTGGTTGTGAGGTGAAGGTTTGTGAGTTTTTTTTTTTATTTTTTATTTCTAGAGCTTTATCCTATTGATTATTTCCATCACCAGATTTTGTATGTTTGCTTCATTTATATGTGATATTTTGTAGTTTTTTTTGTAGTTTAATTTTGATAGTTGTTTGCCGGTGAGAAGTTTTATCAAAAAAATAGAGTGAAAGGGGAAATTTAATACATGCCATGCCCTAAGTTCTGTTAATAAATCAATTTGATTTTACTTTTGATGATTGGGATAGCAGCTTGGATGGCCCTCCTTATGGGTGACCAGTGCTATGTGATATGAATGGTGGTCATTTGTCGTCATTTGTGGCAATCTTCACAATCCTGTTTTCACAGTTTTGCTTATTTTGCTAGCATGAAAAAATTACTTTTGAGTGATAGATCGTTCATTTAACTAAAAAAATCTGCAAATAAACTATTTTTCAAACGCACAAACCAAACAACTAAACAATTTATCCAGAATGGGGGCGGAATGATTATTAATCCAAAATCATCTGTTTTCGAAACGCACAAACCAAACAACTTGTCGGATTATCAGGATAGGTTGTTTAACAACAGATTATCAGAATAAACCGTTTATCTGGATAAGCTGAATAAACTGCAGCTGCCCCAAACAGACCCTTAATTAACTTCAATATATTTAGATTTCTCGTGGAACACAAGATTGTAGTAATATAGATGGTAGTATAATTACTACAATTTAGAATTAGAAGTTGTGTACAAGAAAAATCAAACTTCTATTTAACATCCTTATGCAAGATGAGCTAAAGCTTTAAATTCATCCTTACCACCAACACTGGACATTGCCACAATAATTTATCTTTTCCTTTTCCGATTTACTAGGTTTCCAGCACTAAAAATACAAAATATAAAAGTTGACTTCATAACATCAAGAGATTCAATATAATCAGAATGAGAATGCTTGCATAGCTAAATGCTCACCTTTAATATATGATAAGCATTTTCCAAAAATCTTTTGATGTACGCAAGAATAAGTAGAAAAGCCCCCAAACGCTTCTATTTTGGAGTTTGCATGTGGCTAGCTCATCATTTTGACAATGAATTAAATACTAAGTATAGTGACAATCAGAAAAATCATTTTTCCAACTAATCTTCGGTATTGCGATGGATCATCAAATGATGCCTTAACATCTGAAGTGGTTTGAGCATCCACTATGACATCAGCAGGTTTGCAACAAAGAAAATTAATCACTTCAAGAAGGCCGATAGCATCTTTCCTCCGAGAAAGGAAGATCTCCAGTTTTATTATAAGCAAATTTAAATCAGACAAATTATTTGGGTTGTCTTAGCTCTTCAGTAATAAAACACATTTGCAAGTAGAGTTTTACTTCAAAGATGTCTATTTGGTGTGACAAATATCATCAACATAAATAACTAGCACGAAAAAACCTGAAGATGTAGGTTTGACGAAAAAGAAATGATCAATGGTGCAACAACAAAAGCTGAATTGACAAGAACTTCACAAAACTTCTCAAATAAAGATTATAAGCTCTATTTAAGCCCAAAGATGGTCATCTTGAGAAGACAAATGATTCTCCCCCTAAGAAACAAAACCAAATGGTAGCTCTATACAAATTGTCTCATTCAATTTGCTATGAAGAAAAAGATTACTCCCATCGGCCATAAATAGAAGAGTTCAGACTAAGGGTCTATTTGTGGCAGCTGCAGCAGTTTGAGGAAACAACTGTGAAGTTGCTCCAGAATAAGTTGTAGTTCAAAAGTTGTCGTAACTATTAAAAATTTATTTTAATTTCAAAAATTTAGACTGTAATTTTCTGGCAGCAAACACACTTTAACATGTTAGGTTGAAAAAAATAGTTTTCTACCACAAAAAAAAATATATTAAGCAACTAAAAAATTATTCCCCAAACAGAGGTATGATGGTAGTCTGAAAAGCAAAGCAATCTGAAAGTTGTCCCAAACGGGCCTTAAGTTAAGTCGAAAAACTTTTAAAGTGCCTTTATCCAATAAACCCATATGAGTCCTTTGACAACTATTTGAACTTTATATCAATCGATAAAGTCATCATGGTGAAATTTCACAAAAACACCCAAACTCAAGCAATTGGGGGAAAAATCAAATCCAATATATGATGCCTGAGTAGAGCACTCATCTAAGTATTCATAGTTTATTTCCTGAGAGGATTTTGAAGCATTTACTTACAAGTCCCAGGACTAAGGACAAATAATAAAGGTGGCAAGTAAAAGAATGATTTTGTAACACACCTATCCTAGGGATAAAGAAAGGATTTGGAAGATAAAATATCGACATGAGAGGAGACAGGATCAATGAGAAAACTGTCAAAATTGTACCACTGAGAAAAAATGAGCCCAACAAGCATAGAGAAGGGTCGTGCTAGAGCAGTGGGAGCGCAGCAACAAGAGATAATCATTAAGGGATCGCAAAAGGACAAGTAGCATTGAGATAAAGGGTTGCAGCACGTGCAAGGGATGCACTGATGAGGCAAGAAAGGGATGAGGATTAGGGAGCTAACATTAATCGTGCAAAAAGGATATATATTTTAAAAACTCTACACTCAGAAAATCCCCAATCAGAAAAGGAAGCAAGTGTGTTCAAGGTAAATGTGAAGGAAGAAGAACAAACTAGCACAGCGACCATCAATTGTGAGCATGGACACAATGCCAACAAGGTTCCAAGCGTAACCATCAAGTGAAGGACTGAAAAAAAGAGAGCTTGATCACTATAGGAGAGTTAACCGCTTTGATACCACGTTGACGAGAGAAAAATTATGTTATCCTCTTGGATAATGACATTGCAAGGTACAACCAAGGAAGCCTACACAACTCGCTATAAATAGAGTCCCTAATATGAAAATTTTCAATATTAACATCATAAGAATCTATGAGGCTGGCAAAACCATCAACTTTATAAGCTATACGAACTTGCTTAAAAGAAAAACCTTAGAAAAATTAGTTCTTCACAACCTTATAATTTATTTTAAAATTTATTGATTGATCACCAATTCAACAAAACATTAAATTCTAACTAAAAATATATGTCGAACATCTCCTGGTTTGGCATAAAGCCTAAAAATAAGCACATGATTTATTTTAGAAATTCTTAAGCCAAAATGTGCATTTTTCAATGGAACACAACCTAAAATAGCCGGCATTTAAACTGAATCAAGCCAGTTAAATTGACATAAAAAAGCTGAAATCTTAAACTAGTAAAGCCCGTCAAGACTCAAAACCCTATATCACTAATCAACATATCATGTTAAACATCTAACTTTTACCACCATCAGCCATCAAAAAGATGCACCTTTTTTTTCTGACAAAGCTTTCACCGCTGTCCGTAGAAATGAAATGCCACTTTCTTTACTCATGAGCCAACCTCTGTTGCACTATGAGAGTATAAGAGTTTCATCCTCAACTCTCATAGCTTTAGTTTCGATACCAAACCTCTTACACCTTAAACTTTGGGTATTGTTCAACAATAATAGTCCGTTTATTACCCTAAACAACATTTCCACCTCTACTGTTGTGCGGTCCACATGGCAAGAGCATAGCCATTTTTAAGCAACGTTAAGAGCATAATAGAAAATTTTGGATTTTGTAGTTTCAAAATTCAACACAAAATGTTCAATGGTTCCTAATAGCATGAAAAGGACAACATCCATTTTATACCCCACTACCACAAAGAGCAAGGATTAGAAGAACAGAATGTGAGCTCCTTATACTAATCCCCACCATCAAATGAGTATAAGTGTACAAAACTTGGCAAGGATTACTGATTTCAATCACTCAACAATGAAGATGAATCTTACTAGTCGACTGCCATACAGAGGTTGGCCAAAGGTCTGTGGCTCCCACCAACACTCGACAAACGTCATAACAAACGTAATGTATGTTTCTCTTTTTCCTCCTTTGCACTCATCTTCTATATATATATATATATATATATATATTTGTGCGTGTGTGTGTGCCGCAAGCCGTGGCCTGTTGATTGGCGGAGTTCGTTGTAAGTCCCCTCAGGTCACGGGTTCGATTCCCAGTGCGCCGGATTCTCGAATATTTAGACACACGGCGCGGGCTCTTATCATGGGGCCTAGCACATGGGAAACTGATATTTAAGCCTTTGCCAAATATCGATTTCCTTATATATATATATATATATATATATAGATTGTCTATAAAATAATTAAGCCAGTCCATAAAGCCAATACTTTATTTATAAATATTCAAAACAAAAACTTTGGTTGTTTTAGTTCTAGGCATTGAGTGGCTTTTAAACTAACCTGATTTAATTCCTAATAATTAAATCCACTCATGCTCAGTTAGTTCACGCATTCACCTACAATCAAAAAGGTTATGTGGCAACTGCAATGTGTTCAAACATTTCTTTAGTTCTCTTTATCCACAACAACTTTGCCAGCACCTTAGATTCATTTTTAAATCTTATCATCATCATTGCAATAGCCTCAGCAAAATTCCTCAAAAATTATGTACTCGTTATCCCTTGTAATAGGCAATTTATTTTTTATTTTTTTACTAACAAAACTACTTAAGAGATTCAATTGCCTTTTCTCCAGTGGTATATAAAAGAATCAATGGAAATAGTATCTTCATTAGAAAGAAATTTATGGAACTTTGAAGAAAAAAATCATGATATTTGCATCCCAAATACAAGATTTTTGTAAGAACTTTCAAGCATAGAGAATATCACTTTAATTCTACAAGAAAGAAGTTGCATACCTGTGCAGACCCTAAATCAAAAATATTGCCGGCCAATATTCCTCGAACCAAATTTTCGACACGTTTCCCCTCATCTTCAATATGATCATTCAGCTTTACAACACCTTCAAAAAGTGAAATAGCTTTGGCATTCTCTTCATCCTGATAAATTTTATGCCACATCTTTAGAGCCTTACAATCAAAACCAACGTCTAAGAGTTCCAAACTGCCAAACTGATACCTTGACTTTCTTAAATATATCCCTAAAACCCAATTCTCTAAGTACAATCTCCCGAAGCCTGCAAAGAAGCTATAATTATAAAAAATAAAAAAGAACCAGAATTGGAGTCAGCAACTTCTCATTTAAAATGAAATAAACATGGACGCAATACTTTAGTCCAAATAAAAAGGTATTATAAGCACAATATACACAATCAATGCTCACAATTCCATCTGGTGGCCCGCCATGACTCTCAGGATTTTTCTTCAAGTCCTCAAGAATTTCAGTATATCTTGGCACACAAAAAAAAAAAAATTAAGCAGCGCCAAATGTCAGTTAAGATCTCGTAGTTTTCAAACCCAAGCAATTTGAGCTGAGCACTGGCACATTTAAAACTATTCTGCTAATACTCCATTTTTCTCAAAAAATAGGTTCGGGGGGAGAAAGACAAAAACAAAATAAGTATTACATGGCAATCATTTTGCTGGTGGATCAAGGGTGTATGAAATAACAAAGTGATCTACACACATCCCTAAACATCAAAAAACAAGGCATAGAATATAATGAAAAGCATAGCAACAAAGGCAGATCATGCTTCCATTTTCTATCATCAATGATCTCAAATAATTCCGTTGCCGGATCATATTCAAATCCCTAATCATCGCATATTAAAAACGCAGAAAGAAAACTCTTTAATAAATAAGGACTAATAAGTTATATTGTTTTTTTTTTTTTTTTTTTTTTTTTTGATAGAAGATAACTGCAAGTTCGATAACTTTCTAACGATCACCGTGCATTTTCCATTTGGATTTCGTTCAAAGGAAGTTTAATTACACGGGGGCTTAAAGGCATTAACATCGTGTTGATATAAAGCAAAAATAGCTCATCGCAGCGGTGTATACACTGGATGGTTACCTTTGAGCAAACTTCTCGGCTTTCTCCGCTGCATCTATGACAGTAGTATCATTTTCAGCCCGTTGCCTGTAACAAAGCCAACTTCAGCGTACAAACAAACAAGCAACTGGCAGAGACAGATATGCTTTCATAAGCGCGGTATCTACTATCAGAAAAAAACCTAACGGCAGCATATCTAGAAAAGCTGCGATGAAATCAGAACTCGCCTGAAGGACGGTACAGAGTTCAAGAAGACATCGATCCATTGTATCTCAACATCCGTTGCCTTCCGGGGATTATCCGAAGGGAACCGGTAGGGAATGGTACAAGCTCTGTAATTAGATTCGACTGGAGTCTGCAGCAGCGGAAATGGCACGGAAGGGGACGAGCTCTCCATTCTCTGCCTCGCACTGAATCTCTCTTTCACTCGGAACCCTCAGACCTCCTTCTACACCTTCCGCCTCCTCCCATTATAAGCTCGGGATTACTCAACTGTTCTTAGGTCACGCCAACAGTGAAGTAAGAAGTACGTACGCTAACACCCGAAAGAATTATATATTTACATGGGGCCATAACATGCCTACCACACAAACCTTATAAATATCTATATGTTTAATATTTAGGTTTTCTAATTAATTAAAACATACATGACATTCTGATTATTAATGTCAAATGTCACAAGCAAATACATTTTTTCATGAAATAGATTATGACATTAAAATGTTGAAAATATAAAAATATCAAATTTTAGATGTTAGATATGTAAATACATAAGAGTTATATGATACGCATGTAAATTTTGTTTGATAAATTTATCTTACTACATACAATTATGGTTTGTAATAAAGACTACTATTAGATAATAACATTTTTATCCTCACAAACAGTCTTTCATTCGTTTGTTAATTTATGTATTTTCATTTAGAGCAAACGTTGCCTCATATCATTGACTTGAAGGTATTGGATTCAATTTAGGGTGAGACAAGTCAGATTATAGGCTAGCCAAATTTAAATTTTATCTAATTTAGATGAAAAAAATATTAAATTAAATTATTACAATTAAATAAATGATAATTGGCTTAGGGTTTAAATATTATTGTTATACTTAATTATCATTTTTAACATTATACCATTTAAAATGATAATTGGTTTAAAATACTATACTTTATATATATAATATATATATATTAATACAATTAATTCAAATTCACAACGAAATAATTTAAATTGCAAACGTGGGAACAAGGAATACTGATATGAAACATTAAAAGGGTCAATAAAGAAATAGATAAATAAAAATCATATTTTTCTGATAACGCGCAATAATAAACGAAGTACGGAATGCACATGTTTATTGTCGGAACCCGCATGATATGTCAGAAGCCCCCACTTTTTAATTATCTTTTTTTTTTTTTGGTGAGTTAATTATTATCTTTATTCTCAACTCTTCTTACAAGTCATCTGAACAATCAAGCCATGGAGATTTTTGTACTTCTCCATCAAAAACTCTAAATTTAAGCAACATTGTGCTGAAGCAACAGGGTATGGATGACCCGAGAAATTACAACAAGTCAAAACCATGAGGCTAATAATTCAAAGTGAACAAATCTCCGGGGGTGAGAATTTGGATTATTACACTTCCGCCCAATTTTTGACATTTCTCATCAATCATCACCAAACACTAGCTAATTCCATTTATCAAAGGAGAACTCATGAAACTAATAAATATAATTTGTAAGTTCATTTTTTGCACTTTATGATTAATAATTATAGTATATCCAATATAAAGTGTACAAGTAAATAAGTAGTAGTATCCATGAGACATATAAACAATTTAAATGATAATTCTAAAAAAAATTTGAAGTTAATTACATTCATAAACCTGCTGTACATGTGAACGAAAGGTATACAAATTTAAAATAGATAGTAATATATAAATTCATCTAAACGCATAAAGGTTTCTTCCAGAAATACCCTTAATTAATTATATATATATATATATATATATATATGAGTTTCGTATGCATGCTTATAAATTTGAATCCAAAAATTTTTTGAAGAAAAAAATGCTTTGGATACATACTTCGCTTTCTTCATTTCCTCCTTTCGAGTTTCATGCTTAACAAATCATCTATGCAATTTCCAAACTTTCGAAGATTGGGTGTTAGAAATGCAAACACATAAGATTTGTGTGGCACAAATATAAATTTCTCATAATTTTTAAACTTAAATATAACAACTTTCCTTTATTAAATCATCATGTGGAAACTAGAGCTGTCAAAAAGGCCCGTTGTTCACGAACAGCTCGTGTTTGACTCGTTCGCTAAGTTAACAAGCCGAACACGAACGAACGAACAAATCTTCGTTCGTATTGCTGATTTTGGCTCGAAATACTACTAAACAATTATATATATATATATATATATATATCTCTTTG